GGGAGGTGTTATGTTAGTGTCTGATCAGCTGTTTTCTCGTATGATCTGCCCTCGCTGAGGCGCTTGCGACCTCAATGCGCGGGAAATGAGCGCTATAAAAGGCGCTCGCTGTTAGCTATTGTCAGTTCGTCTGTTCTTACTTTTGGCTGTTCTATTATTTTCTAATAAATATTCTCTGTTTCCTCGTGTGCTGCCTCAGGACGAAGAGTCGACGTGTCCGACGTGGAGGACACAACAGCTTTGGTCATACTTTATCCGTGCTACCGGTGTTACCGGTTACTCGTGTTACTCTGTTACTCGTTTAACTGGTGTTACTAATGTTACCGCTTTTATTGCTGTTGAATAGTGAAATAATCACAATAAAGTCTCATTTCAAAACGCAACATCACTGACTGGTGAGTAACACGAGTAACATGAGTAACAGTAGTAACATTAGTAACATGATAATACGGGTAACATTGGTAACACGAGTAACATTAGTAACACCGGTAACACGGGTAACAGGGTAAAGTATGGCCAAAGTCTAAGACGGAGTCCGCTCATTTGAATACATAGTATACACTGTTTAATTATTGATATTATTTCTCCCATCAACGTCTCTCACTTTTTTCAAGGTAGCAGCTGGAAGGGCTGGGATTAGTTTGAGTTATGTAGGAAGCTCCAGAGATACGATGCCGAGAAAACCTCTAACTGCTCTTGTTACTATTAGAACCACGGGAAATTTAAGTGAACTTCACGCAGTTAAACTACAAATTTTGCCTCACGAGGGAATACAAAAATTTTGAGACTATCTCAGAAAATGTTACACATCAGTTGTACACATATTTATGGAGTATTTTTTGAAATTATTCTTTCTGAAACAGCTTTTGCATAACCTTCGGGTCACGATGGAATTTTGATAAATTTCACAATGACACTAATCTCTGCAGCTTCCTACTGTAATTTTGTCAGCAGAGTGGTTGGTGACTCACCCTCTTACCGCAAAATATATCGAAGCTGCCTTTCAATATAATATCTGTCTATTGTATAGTAAAGTGCAGAGAGATTTTAACGACCAAGCATTGTATACATGATTTTGGGGGCAGCGAGTCAAAAAATTTCTAGTAACAGTGGCTGCAATCTCGACAATTTGGTGTGTAGCTTAGAATGTAACTTTCTCCATCATTGTGCGCTTTGTTTTCCTGGCTTTGATCCACTTAACATTTCACGCTCTATATCGGTTTTACACCGACTCGTATGAAAAGTGTGTAACTTGTGTAACTAAGCCAAGATCTCATTGCAAATCGCAAATGCGACTTGAGATCCTTCCCTGGTTAGAAGGAGCACATGGAAGCAAAAATAAGCAACGTTTCAACCTACAAATACCCTAGAATCCCATAGATAAGAGCGGTTTAATTTACCGGTGAAAAATGAATTGGGAAAAATTGAAATTGAATGCAGTCACCCCTCTAACTTGATAGATGGATAAATAAAAATCAGAGAAGAAGTTTAGTAGAAGCGCCGCCCCTCAACTCTAAACCCCGCCCACTTAATAAAAAATTCATATAGAGAAATAGCGATTTTAACGGAATTTCGGAATTTCTATAAATTGCTTATTAAGTGGGCGGGGTTTAGAGTTGAGGGGCGAAGCTTCTTCTAAACTTCTTCTCCGATTTTTATTTATCCATCCATCAAGTTAGAGGGGTGACTGCATTCAATTTCAATTTTCCAATTCATTTTTCACCGGTAAATTAAACCGCTCTTATTTATGTGATTTTAGGGTAATGACTTCGTAGCATAGATATCTCTCCGCACTGTGCCTCAAGCAGATGTAATGATATCAATCCACGCATCAGACAAACACACCTTTGCAGATTTTGAATCAGATCGACAGAGAACATTTTACCGTACTCCTACACTTTAGTACAATATACCACTAACAACAAATCGATGTGGATGTTGTTTTCAGCACACTGAGTTAGCATCTGAGCACTAACCTGAAGAAAATGGTGAACAGGGGCTTCCTACCATATACATATCGTGTAGTAGTAGACTGTGTTACTTCTATACATGAAAAGAGGCGCCTCAACGAACTCTTGCGAACGATGTCGTTGGGTTTGGAATTCGTCTATTCTGAAGCGTATGGAAACGCGACGCGAATTTCGCTGCACACCGCTGGCTCTCTCGCACTGCAGCGCATTCCGTCGCACTCTGCCAGAGTGAATCATAATCGTATAGCAGTAGTCACCGAAGAATTGTGGGCATTATTGTAGTAGCACTGAAGCTCTTCACTTATTTGTGCTGAAGTGTTTTTCAGCGCTTAGCGCCATTGTGAAGCTATACCGAAAAATCAGGAACATAATTTGAAAACCTGTGCAATGGTGTTTTGCATATGCTGATTTCAATAAAATTTACATAGGTTTGTGAAATTGTATAAAATCTCCTGAAAATTATTGAAGTGCTACCAGAAATTGCTAAATTCAGTACATTTGTGGTCTTTACTGGAATTCGGCTGTTATGTAAAATCACTCAATTTTTTCTGATATGTAATTCTAACACTAGCAAAAGCGGTTGATGGTTCTCTCCATTTGAAGTTGAGGACAGCCTCTCGATATGGACTCAAGCAATGAGACAGGACTGAGACAGGAGAAACATACGCTTTTGCGTACTAAAAAGTGGTACGATTGGCTCTACAGGCAAAGCGAAAAGATGTTAGCCTATCGCATAAAGTTGTTGAAGAGAACACTTACATTGAAATTCAAACTAGCTGAAAAAGTGCTAACATCGAACAAAGTCTGAATTGGTACTGTTTTCAACTAAGAAAAAAGAAAAATCTAAAAAAAGAAAACGAAATATTAGGAATAAAAATTTGAGCTCATCCCTACATATTAGGTGATAACAGAAGTGTTGACATTTTTTTAGGTCTCACTCCCAATCATTAGAAATAATCTTTTCGCTCGTCACAAAAATTGGCAATTAGCAAACATTTGGCAAAAAGCATCAAAATTTCTCCCTTGCGTACATACCGTACTTTTCCTTCCGCTCTAGAGAGAATTACGGTGAGGATAATATTGGAACTATTCTATTAGGTTGGTCCCCAAGCGACAGCCGCAGTTTGAATATCAAAATTATATAGAGGATTCTATCCGATAGAGCAAAGCAAGCTCTACAGGAGACCGTTCTAGGTTGTATCTTTTCGTTGGAAGCCACCATCTGAAGTATTCAACTATCCCAAAACCAGATCTCCGCCAAAAATAATTTTGCAGACCTCCAACTTTGTTAAAATGCAATGAACACATGGTGAAATAAAAAATGCAGTTGTCAAAAATTTTCGAGACAGTTAGTTAAAGGCAGTGTCTAGCCAACTCTGGGCGCATGGGTTTTATTTGCTTAGAAATGATAGGGAGTCTTAGCTGAGGCACTGCCCCAACAGCACCGCGGGTGATTCCCATGACTGAGAGATTCACCCCACCTACTTCGCGCATGCCCGCGACCGTAATTCGAGGGTGACCTAGGTGGGTCCCAGAACGAACGTAGTAAGCGAAGTCATTCTTGGATTATGGTCACGAGCAGGCGCGAAGGGTTTAGCAATAGATTTTGTAGCCGTCAATGAGTTATTTGCGCTGCCGCTTGGAGAGTGCCTTAGTAAGGATACTCTTATCAGGTTTCATTCGAAAAACACGTGCGCCAAGATCTCCATGAATTGCTTCTTAAAAACAAGTACGGGCGGAAAACACAGGGCGCCTTTTTTCGAGTTTGTTCTGTAAAATGTTTTTTCCTGTAACACATTCAGTATTGTGATTTTCGTGTTTTCACTTCCAAAGGTTCAATACAATCATATATGTACGAGCGCGTAATCGTGTTCCCCATTTTCTAGCCATTATTATTTTCTCAGTTTACGAAAATTCCAGAGTACGTATGTAATGAGTGTTTATGTACGTATCTTATATATAAAGCTGAATGTCTGTTTGTCTGTCTGTCTGTATGTCTGTCTGTATGTCTGTCTGTATGTCTGTTTGTCTGTCTGTACGTATGTTCCGAATAGAAAATTCCATTTCTGAACCGATCGGGACCAAACTTGGCACACATACACATTGGGCCCCGGCGGGTGTCATAGGCTACTTTTCGTCATCGATCGATATCGATTTTATCGATTTTTTTTTAGAAATTTTGAGCTACGAGGCTGGGAGTTGGGTACAGGGGGGGGGGGTAATTGAGGGTGCCGATTATGAATTGACATTTACTTTGATGCTTTTATCGACTTGTGGAAAATCTGAGCTACTTCTGGGAGTTGGCACAGGGGATTAATGAGGGTGCTGATTAAAAATAAAATCTATTTTGTAGATTTTACCGATTTTTGATAATCTTGGACTAGGAGTTGCTGGATATGAGGGTGCTAATTATGAATGGATCGGCTTTAGCCGAATGTGTCAGCAAGTTTTAGATCTGATTGCTCTAGTTATTCGATAAATCGTTCGAATCTCCATTCAAAATTCGACTCTCAATGTTCGAAGATAATCGATAATCACTCATTCGATATTTTTGATTATCCGATATTAATCTTGATTTATTCATTCGAAAATTTTTAAATCTCGAATTATTCGATAATCGTTTATTCGAGGTTTTTTTATTTCCGAATTTATTCGATAATCGTTTATCGAAATTTAATTTTTAATATATTCGATATTCATTCATTCGACAAAAATTTCAAATTTGCTTAAGTATAATGAAGAGCAAAATGGTGCAACTTTTATTTTGTGATGCTGATTGAATAGAGACTTTTCTACTGCTTTTGACGTCAAAGCGGACTTTATGAAATTTTGCAAAGTCATGCGGAGTTGTTTTGAGGAACGCTTCAAATCAATGCGTGTCAAGTCCAGCTCGTAGTCATTCTGTGAGCATGCATTGCTCTATCAGAAAGTGCACCCTGCATTTTTGATATACACGTAGCGGTTACACCATAAGAAACGCTGATTACTTTTGCGCAAATCCAACATGATTTTTCTGTGTAATTCTCAGTTCACGCACATTTTTATGGTTTCTTGAACATTTCAAACAGCAATTCTTCAGCTCTAAACGTTTTTAGCGGGGCCCTTTCCACACTTCACACTTGCGGATTTTATTAGGCCATTTGATCTCTTTGCTTCCTTAGCCATATTTATCATCTAAATTCACATATGTAAAAGCAATAATTATCGAAAAATTAATATAGCAGCATACCATTTTACAGTCTGGCACTGTTGACACTTTCAACACTTTCTATTGCTACTTTACCACCCACATTGCGAGCATTCACATTGAACATACTTTCGATGTAAGGGAGTTTGTTACGCTTCAGCTGGCTTTCAAGCTAAAGAGAGGGAATTCTTTAGTCACACAAAAGGAGAGCGTATTTGCCTGAGATTTTGCAATGCTGATATATTTTGATATATGCTTCCCTTCATAGGGTACATTCGTGATGAGAGTTGTAGTAGCCGGTTGTCCGGTTTGTGCAGGACGGCGTGTTGCCTGACAATTGAGGTTTAGATTGAAGAACTCGAAGCTCGAAGTAGTTAAGGAAATTCACCTCCAAATTTACAAATAGTGCTAGAAGTATGATCGTCAGCATCTGGAAAAATGGTAGACGCACATGCTTTGTATTTTTAGCCACACTAACGCTCAATCACAACGTCTCAAAACAAGATGGGGACATTTCATTACTTCAAAATTGATATCTACAAGATAACTTAGTTTTTGCATTATGGAAAAATGCAATCTGTGACAATAGTCACTCTAGGATAACTTTATATACTCCAAAATAAAACACTCATCCATACCGATGTAGTTGATGAACTTCGGATCGTGTTTGAAGCAACAAGAATGGAGGATGGACAGATATGAAAGCGAAGGAAAAACAAACAAGGATTTTTATTTCTAAACCTTTATCCAAAAGGCTGGGATGCAAATGCGATTTCCAATCGCATATTGAAAAGGAAAAACGTTTATTGTGGGAAAGTACTAAAGTTTTAACGCCGCGTTCTCATTCCTTCAAAATATCAGGTTCTTGACGCATGAAAAGTATAATTTGAAATAAGACAAAAACACATCTTGGTTAACAAAAATATTGCTTACGCGCAGTGGATGTTAATCATTTGGTTCATATATAGCAAATTTACAATACATTTTTAGCAACAACAAAAGCAAATTTTCATTATACTCGAATTCACTGTTAGACCTCATTAAAGTCTCTCGAATTTTAGATGAAAGGAGCAGAAGTAAATAGAATTGGCAATAAATGCAGCCGATCCGAAATAAAAGGTTGATCATCGGATGTGAATGTGGCTTTCGCTCGCATCTCATTCTTCTAAGGCATGTTCTTTACATATATCTTATATATAAAGCTGAATGTCTGTTTGTATGTATATAGGGTGCGGAAAAAAAGCTGTCCCTCCAGTTTGGCTCCTGAAACATCTCAAACATAAAGCAAATCTGTAGTTTTTTTGAGTCCCGTACTAGGCGAGATCCTTGAGATTAGTTAAAGATAAGTTTGATTTGTAACTGTTCCCTTCTGTCCGTTTGAACGAGTGATAATAGCGCGCAAGAACATTAACGATGTGCGATACAAGTGCGATTCTGGACCCTAACTATACCACCAGCAATGATAAAGGTTCAAATTGTGCTGGTATGTAGCGCATGACCTCTTCTCCAATATTCTATACCCATTATAGACGAATTATAGATTGGTGACTCTTTTTTTGGCCAAATAAGGAAGGTTATATCACACGCAAATCGCAATGAATTGGATTCAAGCTATGACTCGAGATTCGAACAAAAAGTAACAGGAACAATAGAACATCGGACTTTGTCTAAATCACGATTTTGGAGAGATAAACGATTATAGCTAGTTTTTGTGCCATGTTTTCTGATCGCACCCTGTTGCGCCGCAGACGCTATTCCTTTGGAAAACTTCACAAATTTTCTCCTACTGCAACTGTGGTCTGGCTACTTCCAGCATATTTCGAAGATACTACAACATTCCTCAAGCAGTAGAGGATTTCTCAAATCCACGTTGGAAACAAAAGAAATTCCCAAAAAACTTCACACTTCCTTCACATTTGTAAAAGGGATTTGCAAGGCTTGATATGCGTTGCGAAAAGGGATCCACCGCCGGGTGAGATTGCAAAAATTTTTAGCCAGTTTCTGTAAAATGCTAGAGTACATTCACATCTTAGGATCTGTGTCAAGTTCACCAGGAAAACCTAAGAAATACGCCGATTTTTTGGCTTTATTTTGAGGGACAGTACTTTTTCCGCACCCTGTATATGTCTGTCTGTCTGTCTGTCTTTACGTATGCTCCACATAGAAAATTCCATTTCTGAACCGATCCGGACCAAACTTGGCACACATACACTTCGGGCCCCGGCGGGTGTCATATAGGCTACTTTTCGTTATCGATCGATATCGATTTTATCGATTTTTATCGATTTTTTGCTGAGTTCACCTACGGGGCTGGGAGTTTGCACAGGGGGTAATTGAGCATGAGGATTCCGAATACAATATTACTCTTCAGAATAATCGATTACTTTTATCGATTTTATCGATTTTTTGCAAAGTTTGAGCTACTAGGCTGGAAGTTTGCACAGGGGGTAATCAAGCATGGGGATTCCGAATACAATATTAGTTTTTGAAATTATCCATTACTTTTATCGATTTTATCGATTTTTTGCAAAGTTTGGACTAGGGGCTGGGAGTTGGCATTGGCACAGGGGGGGGGGGTAATCGAGAATGCTGATTACTAAATCAGTGGTAGTAAATTGGCATGTAGACGTGAGAACAGGGAAAGATTGTACAGGGATAGGGATGAGAACTTTATCACAGCGTTTTGACAGGGTCGGGCGGAGCCGGGTAAGCCAGCTAGTCGAAGTTATAAAACTGTGCTTTGTTGATCGAACAGGCCGGTAGATTTGATATAAGAAAAAGAGTCTCAACATTCATTAACAGCGAACTGTGACTGGAAGCGGTAGGAAAGTTTTTTGTGATTTGAACGTCATCGTAAGATCTCATCACAAGCGTGGTATAAAGGAAATACTTTATACTAATTTCATGAGGTCAATGATGCTTATTTTGCATCAGATCTTAATCATTCATAAAATGATTATGTACACGCAAACATTTCGTGAGCCAGCTTTTTTTGGAATGATATGTTTCAAACTTCAAGACAGCACTTCTTTCTATGAATTCACAAAAATTATTATTACTTTCGGCCTTATATCTTCCCACATATTATAACTTGATTTGCATGATCATTCCAGCATTGAATGCCCAGCTCCTTTTTCATGACAAATATTTTACAGAAACTTTTCTAAGAGATCAAGACAAATTTCAAAAGCTTTCATTAGTGGACGTAATAGCATGCAATTAAAGGCAGCGTCCAGGCAAGATCCATCCACCCAGATTATCACATAGTTGTAAAGAGGGGCCCATGAGTATCCAATCTGCGTTGGTCCAATCCTTTAACGTGCCCTCTAAAAGGAGATACGGGCCTGTGATACGTATCACAAGCTGCCTTTTCGTATCACAAACCACCCCCGAGTGCTTACGCAGGGTGCGGTTGCATTGCAGTTGCATTGCAGTTGCATTGCAGTTGCACTGCACACTGGAATGCAGCTGCATCCGTGCAATTGCAGCTCCTCCCGCTGGCATGACGATGGGGACGAGCAATTCGAAACTCGTCCGCTCCTTGAAGAGAGGGTCCCCCAGGAACGGGTGTTTTGGGAGTTTTGAACAATTCCGACTTTACAGCTGTAATCAGGGCCACGGAAAGGCCCCAGAATGGCAGAAACATGAGAGGCGAATTTTGCCCGGACGCTGCCTTTAAGGGCAGTGGTGTATAACCTGCACGGCTTGAAGTTCAGTAATGATCTTTGAAAAGCGACATGATCAGTTGTAACATGCTTGCAAAGAAAGCGTACTATTTCGTTGTCTTTTCGCACTATTGATCTGAAACAACTATTCGATCTCACAGAAAAGGCTGTCTCGCTTGAGATTGTTCAAAAGGAAAAAACCTTCCGCATGTCTTAGAGACTTTTTCTTACAAATTGTTATCGTATTATAGTGCCTTGTTTAGTTATGATTTTGGAATGTTTCCCGGCGATGTCGGCACTCGGCGACTTCGCGTTTTTCGCCGATTTGCCAAATTCGCCGAGAATTTTCACATTTTACTGTTATAGCTGTACACTTTTTATTTCCGAATAGAGCTCAGAAAACGTATAAGCCGCAATTTCTTTTATCGCGCGCGGGTTAATGTGCGAGTTAGTGTGCGAAGACAGTAGCGATGCGCGAAGCCGCACAAGCAACCAATTACATCTTTTTTACCTAATAGGCTGATAATGACTTTCTACTTTCCCCTTTGCTGCGTATGCCATTGAAGTAGCGTTGAAATATCAGCAGTATCATTGAAAGAACGATGTGCAGCTTCAACATCAGTAAACATCAAAGAAAAAGCGCCGTCAACTCCATTATATACTTAAAGGCAGCGGCTAAGCAGATTTTCAACTTCGGGGTTTTGGCAGATTTGGGGCTATTCCGGCTTCCTGAATCACGACATGAACTCCCCTTGGCGCGAAAATGGGGAAAACCCCGTCTTTTGAACCCCCCCCCCTTGAGATGGGCGCGGACGAGTGAGCCGTTTTTCTCTGCCGTCGGAGACGCAGAGTAAGGAGGTAGAGAGCGCTAGAACAATTGTGCCCTACGAAGCTACGAGTGATGGCGCGTTTTCTAGCAGAGAACACACTCGTCCGAATAAGGTGTTAGGGGAGCGAAAGGAGGAAGGGGAGCGGCGGTTGAGCCGCCTCCCTGGCTTGCAGAATTCACATTTTCGGCGCGCAGTTCTTGTTTTGGTTCACTTCCGAGACGCTGCCTTTAAGGAAAGAAAATACAACCTAAGTACCCTTTAAAAGAGTAAAGAAATACTCAAAGAAAATGCACCGAGTCTCAGTTTGTTTGTTCAAAAACAATTTTTGCGAGAGCGTTTTCGCGCCATTGTTCGCTGCGGCAGGTGCGGCTTATATAAGGGTTGTTTCAGACTGCCGCAGCTGACTGCAGCAGAGTGCAGCAGACTGCAGCTGACCGCATTGACCACGGGGCCGCACAGATCGCTACATCCTTTTGTGAAGGTGGGGAGGATAAATAGTTGTAGCTCAAACAGTCTCTCAACAATATATGCCCCAATAGATAACACGAGTGGAAGTAAAATAGGTATATGCAGTGACAAAAGGAATCTGAAAAAATGTAAGCACATTAAAGAAAAACAATCTCCAAAATTTGATTGAGAAGAGCAAATTAGAACTTATGAACTTTCTAGGCGTAAATCACGGTGTTTTGATGTATTCGCAACTATCTTCTCTTTTACGAAAGGATGCAGCGATTGGGCGGCCGTTGCGGTCAGTGCAGTCAGCTGCAGTCTGCTGCAGTCAGTGCGGCAGTATGAAACAACCTTGAGGTGTTATAAATAGCAAAGTACGGTAAAAAACAAACAGAAACGTGGAAACAACACAGCATCATTTTGATAAAAACCTAGAAATTTTCGTTTTTTTGGTTTGTAGCCAAGAAAATAATTCAGCAATGTTGTGTATGATGTCTGATGAAAGTCTGACAAGAGATTAGATATGCGTGGGCGAGTTAAAGGTTTATAAGATATTAATGGACAGCGATAGGAATTATTTCTTCAATTTTTGGGCATCTGAACCTTTTTCGTCTCTGGTTAAGTGAGTTTATCAAAGCTGTTGCAACGTACAATGCGTTCAACGAGGCCAGCGCCGCGTAGTGCAGTCACAGATCCACGCGCGAGGACCGTAGCGCAGCATGCAGGACATGCTGCGCACAACATCGCGGGCCTTGTTTTTATCATTGTATCTTGCAATTTTTCCTTTTTTGTAGCTGCGTATTGCCATTTTTCTTGCTTCTATGCTCATATGCGATTTGTCTTGATGAGGAATATGATTTTTTTCGCAGCTAAGGAAGGAAGTATCAAATCTTTGAGCGTTTTCCCTCATGACATCTTTCGCTTTCATTTCATCCAGGCCTTCTTCAGATGGCTGATTCCGGATGTCATGGTTCATTGCAACGACTCTGTTTCAGCGGGTCACATCGTATATCGTCT